AACGTGCCAGTATCTTTTAACAAGTTTTTATAGAGAAAGTATTGAGTCATAAATTATTTATTTATTCATTAAAAAGGGTAGTAGAATGTCTTAATAAAAATCAGCCACAATTTTCTGTGGTAAGCTAAAAGTGAGTTAGAATAAAGAATTCAAATGTATTTTAGAAATTGCAAAGTTCTTTTAAAATTACATCGCAATGGAATATAAAGATATGAATTCAATTTGGCTAGCCCCGAGCTGAGAGAGGAATCATAGCGGCTTATTGGACGTTCATATCCCCTTTATCTATAAACGTTTGAATAACAATATTTTAGAAGAAAACATTTTAAATAATTTTGTTCAGTGTAGACGACCATGTATAAATGTATAACATTATACATCTCTATTACATCATCAGTTCTCTATGCGAAACCAATTTGGCAACAAAAATGAGATCGTATTAAAAAATTAAAAAGAACAAATAAAAAAATGTTGAATGGATATCTATATTAAATGGCAAGTGAGTGCGCCAAATAGTCGACGTGGTAAAATAAAGTTACGGTGTACACATATTGGCAATCGTGTACACAAATTGGCAATCGTGTACACAAACTGGCAATTGTACACAATACACACAGCACACATTCCAATTGCTACATCGCTGGCACAGAGCCAAGCCGCTCTATACGCGTTACAATTAAACCTTCGTCAATTAGAACGTTATAATCTAAAGGCAATAGGTTTATGTTATGTCTAGTTTATGTTATAGCAATATTGTTATAATTCAGGTATTAGGACAGTGGATCTCAACCTTAAGCCCGCATTCGTACGGATGTTTTTTTACTCTGTGTTAATACGCGTTCAAATAGAATACATGCATTTCTATGTAAGTTCATACGGCATCGTTTTTAAAACACGACGCTTTGTAGCGCAGTGTTATATTGAAAGAACTAGGCGAAGGAAACAAGAGTTATTTTAAAAAAATCGTCTCTTGAGAGTCACCAATACAGTTTTAACACAGCGTAAAAAAATTACCCATGTAAATGCGGGCTAACAGTCGGTTTTGAATGGATTGACTTGGTTAACATTAAACATTACGAAGAAAAAGGCGTATATATTCCCTACGCTGCCTAAACCATCGTTCTACATTTGTGCCGTAGAGCGTTGTAGGTCCACGACCTCGTTACAGCTATTGTCCTGCGACAGCTCACTGCAACTCACTTCAGCTGCATTTACAGTTGTACAAAAGCCTCCTACAGTTGTTACGAGCACTAAACCTTTTCACGGCCCGTTGCTGAAACATTTCTTACAGGTCGCGAAATGTTAAAGAGAAAAAACTACTATTAATTGTAAGCGGGCTAAAAGTATTATTGTAATTTGTATGATATGATGAATAAAATTTAATTTTTGGTTTTTAATTTGATTTTTACATTCAAACTAGTGGACGTACGTGATTACGTCCACGCGGAATTAAAAAAAAATACATAATTAGTAGCCTATGTGTTGTTCCAGACTGTGTAAATTTCATCGAGATCCGTTGACCCGTTCTGGGGATATCTTCAAACATACGCCCATCCATCTAAACATTCGCATTTATAATACTAGTAAGAAGTAAGATAAACTAACCATACTACTTATAAGTACCAAAACAAGATACTCCGCAGTTAAATTTCTCACTGAACAGATACATTACCGCAGAAAGGAGTGCGCAAGTACCGCAAATGTGCAACGACATAATGAAAGCATGTACGGTGGGCGTAACAGCGTACATCAAGTGTTGTATGCATCACGATATTCACTGCATCCGTTTGTCGCGGAGAGATGTATCGCCTGGTGTGAACTCAAAAGCCTAAGCAAGAAAATGTACCTGACAGCTTACGCTGTCACACGCTAATCACACGACAGGTAAATTTGCGAGATAGGTAAAAGCAATCGCTTTAACATCGTCACACTTGATGCGTATTACTGAAACATATCTTTCAGAAGTGAGGTTGAAAGATTGATGACGTCACAAATCACAAAGCGTATAACATGTACGAAGTTCCGTAAGCCTAAAGGAGACAACGCCACACATCTATCGTGACTATACTCAATAATGACAAAATGTATCTTAGCAAACACATCAATATTTATCTAATAAAGTAAATTTTTCAGAAACCTAGTTGATTTCAAACTCCTACAGTCATTAATAATAATGAAGACGTTTTAACGAAACGTTCCATCATACGCTGTTTAGTTTTAGTTTAATATACTTAGACTTAAATACTATAATGTGAATGTGAAATTATTATTTTTTTCATAGTAAAAACTTATGCAAACTAACATACAACGCGTAAATATCGTACACGGATGATTGATAATTTTAAAACGTTCTCCGAAAAGGTAATCCGACAACATCAAAGCGTTCAGGAGTGAAATAACAAAATTGAATTTATATAATTTGACGGCGCGCGCCGCCGCACCCCAAAATAAGCAATATTGCTCACAAACATCACCTACGGCTAGACTCGCGTTAGCACCCCATTTTTCCTGTAGAATTTTGTAAAAGAACAATTTTAACATTTCGAATTGAATACAAACAAGTTGGTTACATTAGATTTCACAATGTCCGAGTAAAGCGTTGGATAAATAATTCACAAATTACACATGTTTTTATACGACAAATAAGTTCCCTTAATTAATGGTCCCTTAGTTATGAATTAGCCAACAATAAATCAATAAAAACTCAAATAGTAACGCGTTAGATTAGCTTTTTGCATAGATTTGGCAAACAAATTACCAGCGTCTGCCATTCTATGAAAAATGAAGGCTAAATTAAGACATTTGCCAAACATTTGTACAAAGATGTGTCACACCTCCATTAAGTAGAGTGATAGCAGAAGCCTACGTGACAGACATCAAACAGAAACAAAACTCGTTACGATGTTCCGACGTGCGCGAGGTAACGATCATAATCGGTACGCTCTTTGATCTCCAGCCTCCTGATATATGCTAACAAAGTTAATATCTTACCTTTTTACGACACTCAGACATCATTATAAAACAAAATAATGGTACAAAGTCTGTAAACTTTCCGCGACTTATTTTTTTTAACAGACGAACATGTTTATAATGTATATTTGAACCTTCAAGATGCTTGATTTAATATTAAAAATTGAGATCGATAAAACCAAATATCAATTAAATCAAGATAATTATCGTACCCTCGTAGACTTAAAGCGTAGAAGCGTAGCTACTGAGCTACTTCGATAGTAAAATAAAATAGACAACTTATCTCTTAAGTAACATACAATGAAAAACTACAAATCAAGTTGCAAGGAAGCGAATGATTCCTAGACTCGTCCTATACATCGCAAACAAAGGAAAGTCTATAAATTTTTACGACTGTAAAGTTATAAAGTTACTTTGTGTAAGTTACCGTCTGATAGATCAAGTTATTTATAGCTCCAACACTGAAGCCCTAAGTTACGGAGACTGAGCAATTTGCTCGGGGGCGTGGGGTGGTGAGAGGGGGCGGATTGAGCTCATCTTGCATTCATAGCCGCAAGTCAAAGCTAATGTAAACCGTTTTAGACGCAACTACGCTCAGATGTCGAGTTTCCATTGACCCGGTATTATAATGGAGATGTAAATAAAACATGATTTTATTATAATTTGTGCTAATTCAATGTTTATTCATGACAAATAATTTTGCAATAAATGTAAATCTCTCTTTATTTTAATACTAGCTGTCGCCCGCGACACCGTCCGCGCTGTATAAAAAAAAGATTTGATCAGTAGCCTTTGTGTTCTTCCAGGCTATGTTCAACATCTATGCCAAATTTCAGCGAGATCTATGCATCCGTATGGATATACGATATACCTACACATAAAAATCCATCCATCCATCCCAAAAATTTGAAACCAAAACGGGGAACGGGGGAAATAAAAACGTGTACTAAAATAGTATGAAGGTTTTCGCGTTAAGCATAGACAACATGTTCATATATAAAATACTGTAAGAACTTTCAGGTAGGTAGTAAAAAGATAAAAAAAGAATCAGAATATATGAAAACTGTACCTAAATGGGCCGTGACTGGCCTGAGGGTAGTTAGAGTTGCATGCCGGCTCGCCTCACTTCCCTGCGCCTTTCAATTTAATTATTCACCAGCAGGCAGACAGCGAGCCACGCCGGCAATATGTATTTAAAACATTTCATAACATGTGTCTGGCTACAGTGAAAAAGGATTTTAAAATTTACATTCACAATTTCATAACGTATAGTGCAAAACTAACCAAATATTAAGTCACAACATTCAAAACTTTACGGTAACAATAATATGATAACGTGCTCTATTCATTACAGAAGTTGGAAAATATGACATATGCATGTAAAGACGAGTCAGGGAGTCGAACGTTAAGAACAATATTTTCATTCAAGTATATTAAACAATTTGATATACACATAAACTTATGTATATTAACATTTTAACTTATATTATATAACTCTCACTTCAACACTGTTGCAAGTTCATAGAGCTCGACATAATGTATTTCAGCACATTTCCTCATAAAACACAGCTATACCGTAGTGTGATTGCTTTTCAAAGAATGTCTGGTTAACATTAGAACCCCGGGTAGGCGAGCGGTAACTTTAACCTTCCACCGAAACACTGCAGCACATGGCCCGCGCCCAGTGACGCGTCAAAACTCCAATTACGCTACTGCTACGGTTAAATTCCTACAAATGTAAGACAAAGTAAATTGAACTTTGTCTCCAGAACGTATGGACCGAAATTGTGTATACCAGGGCTACGCAGGAAATATTTATTGATATTAAAGTTGGAGCACAGTATGGGCAAACTTGTAATAAAGTTTGCTGACCCTTTTAAAACCTTTTTTGCTTAAAACGTTGCTAAATTATAAAGTCGCTGTAATAATATGTGGTACAATAAATTGTTAGGAAAACGCTGTGACATTTCATCAAAAAATTACATGTTAAAGAAACCGTATTCTGGCTTTAATTTAAAAAATATACTCACCAACGCAATTACGTCTATCTGAAACAGATAAAGAAAATCAGTATGTTGTCTTCAACATAATAGACAACTAATAGAACTCTCCAAATATTAAATCCTTACGTCGATCAAAATACGAACAATAAAGTGGAAAAAGAAAGGAATCTCCTTAAAAAATCAATAAGGCTTCAAATGATATGTTTAAACACGTACTTGCAATTATAAATAGTCAACAAATGACAGTATTTCATTGTCGGTCGATATTTTATTGACTAAAAGCTTTTAAATTGAATCTACGAGAACTGCGTAGATACTTTCTACTGGAATGGTTTCGAATAAAAGTAAATCCTTTATTGGAGTGGTCGGAGATGCATTTTTATTATGATGCGTTTAATCGGAAATACGAGATATTTATTTCCATGAATGTAAAAAGATACATTTTGTGCGTCTGGACCATTCGAACCACCAAGTTGACAATTGTGAACAAAAATTCTATGATTTATAATTTTTCTAGTACTTTTTTATTTATGCTTAAAGGAGCTGTTGAAGTTACCATTACTAAGATTGAAACCACCTAAATATACTATAATATGTTACAAAATATAGCATTATACAACGAGTATATTATTCAGATGTAACCAGACTGTTTGATGTGTCGGTGGGGAAGCTAAAAATAACACCAATCGAACTTGTGATCGCACCTCGCCTGCGGTAACAACGCGCTACAATATACCACGTCCTAATCTGTCTGTCCTATTTAATGTCTGCATAATACTGGAATTCTAAATTATATTTAGTTAAGTTATATCTTTTAGCTGACAGATAATCCAAATCGAATAAATTAGGATAACAATCGATATACCATTAATTATTCAATATCAATATGCAGACATAGTGTTAAAACCGTTTTAGGTATAAACTATAAAATAAACTAACACATATAAGACAATGATGTGCACTAAATATCAGGCAGCACCAGAGTAAAGCGATAGCTATTTAATTAAAAAGTTTAAATCGTTTTAAAAAATATATCCATGGCATATTGTGTAAAATTAATGCTGCATAAATAAAATCATTCCCGCCCGTCCATCTCATCAATCACTCAATCCATTTCAATGGCGGTGGTTACGCGTTGCATCCGGGCGATATTGTAAAGGCCCATCAAATGAGATTAATTTACAACAAATCGCGTCAGAGGGCGTCCGTACGCTCGACGTTCCGCCGGCCATTGCATTAATTGGATCTCGCTATTTATTGAGACAACGCGATTCAGAAAACACGACAACAAATTCGGAATTTGTTTTTAAAGTAATAAGTTTGCACTAACACATAGTGAATTAAGCCTTAAAATACAATTTTTAATTTATATTACAAGAGCTGTTATGAAATTAACTAAGTCCGAGGCACGTTGCAAATAAAATTCCGAGTCCATTTCAGACTGCTGCGCTCCGCCAATTTAGACTTGAATTTAAGTGCACTTTCTGGTTCCGTAGTCTTTATAATTGGACAGTTGATACACAGTTCATTAATACGGACTATCCCCTTCACTACGTTCCGCTTTTTATACAAACGAAAACTGTACTAGATACTGGCCAGCCGCTGTTTTTTTTTATTTACTGTACATAATATCAATATTAAATAAATCCTATAGGACTCAGGGATATTGTAACATTGAAATGGAGAAAGAGTTTTTGAAATTAGTCCACTAGTGTTGAGATTATTTTTTACAAACATAAAAAACACAAATCGCCCTTTCTTATGAGCGAAATTATTTTGTTTAAAAGTACGTGCTTAAACTAATATTTAGTTATCAGCTTAAGTAGTCACAAAAGGTAATTTAAATAAATGTAAGCGTACTAAAAAACGTTCCCGAGTACTAGAAGTCGTTACGTTTTATTCCATTGCGTTCGTTTCCAGATAAAACTTTTATGACGTTGCAAATGCTTAACAATGCACATTTCTAAGCAAACCTACTTTCCTATTATTATCGCGATACTTTCAGCTTGTTAATGAACACACAATAGTTTGCTTAGTCGTTTGAAGGAATAATTAACTGTTGCTTTATTTTTAGAACAGTAATACAAAACTAAAGACTTTGAATGCTGTAACTATTTAGATGTCTTATTACGACATTTATACTTTTAAAACTATCTTGTTTTATTGTAGTAACCTGTCATGTTTTTCTTTCATCAGTTTAATATACTAATAAATTGTTTGTATATTATTTATTTGCTAGTACGTGTTTATAATCTACGTAAGTATTACATCCCCCAAATTGTTGAAAACTGCGCTACATGATGGCAGCCACTTGAATGTCTACTGCGGTGCATACATGAATATTCAGTGGAGGTTAAGCGCCGAGGCAGGAGCTCGTTAGTATGCGCGCGTGTGTACACGGCTTAATTGTTAACTTGCAGTTGCAGTTGCTGAAATGCGTTCTTCTCTATGTATATTTTAATGTAATGAAATAAGATAATATTTAAATAGAAAATACTTGGAAACAAAGTTAACTAAACGAAAACATTACGCGTTAAGCAAAATATATTTTAATGTGAAGTTATTTTATCCATTTGTTCCCTTTATAATGATAAAAAAGACTATCAAAGTGAAACATAAAATACCAGCGACCCGTTGCATCGGTTCCGGGTATCATTATGTAATTTCAAACATGACGTTTTATTTATACCGAGCCGTTCAGTTATTTTTAATTTAATTATATTCAGCAAAACGTTTTTAATACACGGCAGTACACATAACATGACAAAAATAACGTTACGATATACGATCCTTAAGTTTAATTTAAATGCTAAAGAGGAATTAAACTCCCACTCAAGTAGTAACAGCTGTGCGATCCAATTGCCAGACTATCGCCGCAAAGACAATGATAATAAAATGAAAACATCACTGTCATTTGCAAACGACAGCCGGGACTAGTGGGCGGAGGACGCACGAGTTCATTCCGATTGCAAAATGTTAATATTACTCCATTTAAATATTCCACAGACAAGTTAATTGTTAGTCGCAGACGTATTTGTAAACAGGGCTGGTACATATTGTGTGTTATTATTATGTAATTCAAAAACACTTAAGCTTCTTTCAACTCTATACTTAAGTTTTATAAAAAACTAAATTTTATCACCTTAATATAAAATAACAATACGTATCTAAATAAAAAAACGACACAATAGAATTTCAATTTCCTGCAACGGTGTCCAGTCGAGTCAGAACTTCAGCCATAATTAACAGCGAGTTTCGGCTTATCCCAATTAAAATCTAGCAACCCTACGAGCCACAGCGCCTCTGAGTGGGGAGGATGGGGAAGGTTGGGATAAATGTTCAAAATAACAATGATGCGTTGGTGAAGCCCCGCCGCAGATGAGGTTGATAAAGTGCCCCGTTCCTCCCCGCATCGCCCCCAAGAGGGATGACGATAGCCGGAAAAATATGCAAATAATTCACCACTTTACTACGCTTTTATTTTAACTTCATTAGCATACTTAACTATGAATGGGTTATTTTATGATTACTGACTTTATAAAAGTTTTAAAGCTGACATTCCTGAAAATGGTAAGTGGTTGAAAAAAAATCTACATATTTTTATATGTTATACCTTTTTTTTTGTTATACTAAATATCGCTCGCGACTCCGTCCGCGCGGTAATAAAAAAAAATTAATCGGTAGCCTATGTGTTCTTCCAGACTTTCAGCGAGATCCACACAGCCGTTCTCACATACATCCATCCATTCGCATTTATATTAGTAAGATAACATTTATAAACTCAATTTCAAATAATAACATCGAAGGCTCACAATGTGTTTTCATCGGAGGCTTTAAACCGACCAATACGGAGTAAGTGTAGACGATAAGAGCCACCTGGTGCTTGCTTTTCATTCGCTCTGTTATACCCTAGCAATAGTCACCCGCTCGAGTGGAAGGAGTGAGAATGTACTATCAATAAAGCTGCCCGCCGGCGCCCGGCCCTGGGACTAAAGTTAACACAATGTCGTTCATCATTTTAACTACACCTTTAAACACTAGCAGCCTGTCCTGATTCTTCATGAATGAACTTTATTTTTAAACATTTTATAACGATATTAAACTTAGCGTATGGACAAACAAACTCATTCTAAGTGTAAAATAATTTTTCAACACCTGTACTTTTTTTTAGTTTATTACAAACATATGAAAACAAAAAAAATTCGACTTTACTATAGTAGATTTTACATATAAGAATAATATCGTGTAATTTTAATGTAAGTTAATAGTCAAACAAAAATTTGTATGACATCTTAAAACAATTACTGTAAATAAAATTGTTAAATGAGTAAATAAATGAAAATATTTCCTTTGTCATTTACCGAACACAAACCAATGCTCTGTAGTTACGTGCTAAAATATGTTGAGAAGTCGTCCGGATCGCGAATTTCATTCTCCATTATAATCCATCGCCCCCTCATTTACACGAAACGCTCTGTGATTAAGTCTGGGATAGAGAGAGATAGCGATACATCTTTTATTAATGCCACCTGGCCTTTGGCGAGATCAAAGGTATATTCAAAATAGAAATAAACGAATATTCATATTACGAGGGACAAAAATGCTAAATATTTTTGTTGGTGTATTTAAGTATTTTTAAGTTTGTATATTATTAAAATGTATTTTTCATAAAGACGAGATAATAATCGTAACAATAATATGAGGAAAACAATCTATATTAATATTATAAATAATATTACTAAGTAGCACTACTTTGAATCATAGCATCGTAGAAGGTCTACGTAAACGTAGCAACATAGATATACATAAATAATTGTCGTAGAATTTCAATATCTAAGTAAACGTAACAAAGAAAAAATAATGTGAGCAACTTGTAACTAAAAAATACAGTAAAACAAGAATCAAATGGGAAATCGCATAAATATTTATTTCTTTCGTTTCCTATAAAAGGTCATGAAAAATATAGTACACGTATATTTAAAAGATAAAATAAGTAATATTATTTGCCAGGGTCAGTAGACGCCATGACCTTGTACATTCCGACC